TAACCCTATAATGAGACCCCCCACCTAATCCCCTATGAGCCCCCCAGTAACTCCATAATGGGACCCCCCAGTAACCCCATAATGAGACCCCTCCTTAACCCCCTATGAGCCCCCATTAACCTCATAATGGAACCTCCCCATTAACCCCCTATGAGCCCCCATTAACCCCATAATGGACCCCCCATTGCCCCCCAGGTCCTGGTGTCGCTGCAGGCAGAGGCCAGCGCGGGGGGGGCCGCTGCCCCCCAACCCATGGAGGAGCCGGTGGGGGGGGATGAGCAGAGCAGCCCGGGGGGGCTGCGGCATCGCCTGCTCCCCACGGACAGGTAGGGACCCCCCCCCCCCCGCAGCATCCCCTATGGGTGCCCCCCCATGGCTGATGCTGGAGGGGTCCCTATGGGTGCCCCCCCATGGCTGATGCTGGGGGGGTCCCTATGGGTGCCCCCCCCCATGGCTGATGCTGGGGGGGTCCCTATGGGTTCCCCCCCCCCCATGGCTGATGCTGGGGGGTCCCTATGGGTCCCTATGGGTGCCCCCCCCCCCCATGGCTGATGCTGGAGGGGGGGTCCATGGCTGATGCTGGGGGGTCCCTATGGGTGCCCCCCCCCATGGCTGATGCTGGGGGGTCCCTATGGGTGCCCCCCCCCCCATGCTGGCTGTTTGGGGGGTGCTCACCCTCTGCCCCCCCCCAGCGCCCCCGATGCCGAGCCCGGGCCGGGCCGGCTCCAGCTCTCGCTCTGGTACCACGGGGATGGGCACAAGCTCGTGGCCATCGTCCACGCCTGCAGGTGGGCGATGGGGGGGGACAGGGGGGGCGGGGTTTGTGCCCCCCTCATCCCAACCCCCCCATCCCACCCCCCCCATCCCAACCCCCCCATCCCAACCCCCCTCATCCCAACCCCCCCCATCCCAACCCCCCCATCCCAACCCCCCTCATCCCAACCCCCCCATCCCAACCCCCCCCATCCCAACCCCCCCATCCCAACCCCCCCATCCCAACCCCCCCCCATCCCAATCCCCCCCCCATCCCAACCCCCCCCTCCCCACCCCATCATCGCAACCCCCCCCATCCCAACCCCCCACTCCCAACCCCCCCCATCCCAACCCCCCCCCATCAACCCCCCCAACCCCCCCATCCCAACCCCCCCCATCCCAACCCCCCCATCCCCCCCCCCATCCCAACCCCCCCATCCCAACCCCCCCCCATCCAACCCCCCCATACCCCAACCCCCCCATCCCAACCCCCTCCACCCCAACCCCACCCCATTCGAACCAGATCAGTGGCGGGAACCCCCCATCCCAACCCCCCCCATCCCAACCCCCCCATCCCAACCCCATCCCAACCCCCCCATCCCAACCCCTCATCCCAACCCCTCATCCCAACCCCCCCATCCCAACCCCCCCATCCCAACCCCCCTCATCCCAACCCCCCCATCCCAACCCCCTCATCCCAACCCCCTCATCCCAACCCCCCCCATCCCAACCCCCCCCATCCCAACCCCCCTCATCCCAACCCCCCCATCCCAACCCCCCCCCCTCATTTGACACCCCCCTTCCGACCCCCCCCAATCCCTACCCCCCCATCCCAACCCCCCCCATCCCCCCCCCCCATCCCAACCCCCCCATCCCAACCCCCCCCATCCCAATGGATCCCAACCCCCCCCATCCCAAATCCCAACCCCCCCATCCCAACCCCCCCATCCCAACCCCCCCATCCCAACCCCCCCATCCCAAACCCCCCCATCCCAACCCCCCCATCCCAACCCCCCTCATCCCAACCCCCCTCATCCCAACCCCCCCATCCCAACCCCCCCATCCCAACCCCCCCCCATCCCAACCCCCCCTCATCCCAACCCCCCCCATCCCAACCCCCCCTTCCAACCCCCCCCCCCCCCATCCCAACCCCCCCATCCCAACCCCCCCATCCCAACCCCCCCCATCCCAACCCCCACATCCCACCCCCCCCATCCCAACCCCCCCATCCCAACCCCCCTCATCCCAACCCCCCCATCCCAACCCCCCCATCCCAACCCCCCCATCCCAACCCCCCCATCCCAACCCCCCCATCCCAACCCCCCCCATCCCAACCCCCCCCTTCATCCCAGTCCCCCCTTCTACCCCCCCCCCCCCATTATCCCGGAACCCCCCATCCCAACCCCCCCCATCCCAACCCCCCCCCATCCCAACCCCCTCCCCCCCCCCCCATCCCAACCCCCCTCATCCCAAACCCCCCTCATCCCAACCCCCCCATCCCAACCCCCCCCCTCCCAACCATCCCTACCCCCCACCCCCCATCCCAACCCCCCCCATCCCAACCCCCCCATCCCAACCCCCCCCATCCCAACCCCCTCATCCCAATCCCAACCCCCCTCATCCCAACCCCCCCCATCCCAACCCCCTCATCCCAACCCCCCCCATCCCAACCCCCCCATCCCAACCCCCCCATCCCAACCCCCCCAGGAGCCTGCGGCCGGTGGGGAAGGAGCCCCCCGACCCCTTCGTGTCCCTGCTGCTGCTCCCGGAGCGCGGCCGCGGCGCCAAGAGGAAAACGAGCGCCCAGAGGAGGACCCTGGACCCCGACTTCAACGAGAGGTGGGGGGGCCATGGGGACCCACAGGGGCCATGGGCACCAGTGCGGACCCACAGGGACCAGTGCGGCCCCATAGAGAACAATGTGATCCAGTGCGGCCCCATAGGATGCAGTGTGATCCAGTGCGGCCCCATAGGATGCAGTGTGATCCAGTGCGGACCCATAGGGACCAGCGCAGCCCCGTAGGGTCCAATGTGGTCCAGTGCGGCCCCATAGAGAACACTGTCATCCAGTGTGGCCCCATAGGATGCAGTGTGATCCAGTGCGGACCCATAGGGACCAGTGCAGCCCCATAGGGACCAGTGCAGCCCCGTAGGGTCCAATGTGATCCAGTGCGGCCCCATAGAGAACACTGTCATCCAGTGTGGCCCCATAGGATGCAGTGTGATACAGTATGGACCCATAGGGACCAGTGCAGCCCCGTAGGGTCCAATGTGGTCCAGTGCAGCCCCACAGAGAACACTGTCATCCAGTGTGGCTCCATAGGATGCAGTGTGATCCAGTGCGGACCCATAGGGACCAGTGCAGCCCCGTAGGGTCCAGTGTGGTCCAGTGCGGCCCCATAGAGAACAATGTGATCCAGTGTGGCCCCATAGGATGCAGTGTGATCCAGTGTGGACCCGTAGGGTCCAATGTGGTCCAGTGCGGCCCCATAGAGAACAATGTGATCCAGTGCGGCCCCATAGGGACCAAAGTGATCCAGTGTGGCCCCATAGAGAACAATGTGATCCAGTGCGGCCCCATAGGATGCAGTGTGATCCAGTGCAGCCCCATAGAGAACAATGTGATCCAGTGTGGCCCCATAGAATGCAACATGATCCAGTGCGGCCCCTTAAGGAACAATGTGATCCAGTGTGGCCCCATTAGATGCAGTGTGATCCAGTGCGGACCCATAGGGACCAATGTGGTCCAGTGCAGCCCCATAGAGAACACTGTCATCCAGTGTGGCCCCATAGGATGCAGTGTGATCCAGTGCGGCCCCATAGGATGCAGTGTGATCCAGTGTGGACCCACAGGGACCAGCGCAGCCCCGTAGGGTCCAATGTGGTCCAGTGCGGCCCCATAGGATGCAGTGTGATCCAGTGGGGACCCATAGGGAGCAGTGCAGACCCATAGGGACCAGCGCAGCCCCATAGGGTCCAATGTGGTCCAGTGCGGCCCCATACAGAACAATGTGATCCAGTGCGGCCCCATAGGATGCAGTGTGATCCAGTGCGGACCCATAGGGACCAAAGTGATCCAGTGTGGCCCCATAGAGAACAATGTGATCCAGTGTGGCCCCATAGAGAACAATGTGATCCAGTGTGGCCCCATAGAGAACAATGTGATCCAGTGTGGCCCCATAGAGAACAATGTGATCCAGTGCGGCCCCATAGGGACCAATGTGATCCAGTGCAGCCCCAGATGCTCCCATACTGTCCTGTACTGTCCCATACAGCCCCATAGGGTGCCATACAGCTCAGTACAGCTCCATACGGGCACGTACAACGCGGCACCAGCCCCATATCGTTCCGTACAGCCCCATAGAGTCCCGTACAACCCAGTCCAGCCCCATATGGTCCCAGGCAGCATGGAACCAGACATACGGGACTCTGTATGGGCTCATGTGGTCCAGTGCAGCCCCATACAGCTCAGTACAGCCCCATAGGGTCCCGCACAGCGCCATAGGGTCCCGCACAGCCCCATAGGGTCCCATAGAGCCCCAGAGGGTCCCATAGAGCCCCAGAGGGTCCCGCACAGCCCCATAGGGTACCATAGAGCCCCATAGGGTCCCGCACAGCCCCATAGGGTCCCGCACAGCCCCATAGGGTCCCTCACAGCCCCATAGGGTCCCATAGAGCCCCATAGGGTCCCGCACAGCCCCATAGGGTCCCTCACAGCCCCATAGGGTCCCGCACAGCCCCATAGGGTCCCGCACAGCCCCGTAGGGTCCCATAGAGCCCCGTAGGGTCCCGCACAGCCCCATAGGGTCCCGCACAGCCCCATAGGGTCCCGCACAGCCCCATAGGGTCCCATAGAGCCCCATAGGGTCCCGCACAGCCCCATAGGGTCCCGCACAGCCCCATAGGGTCCCATAGAGCCCCATAGGGTCCCGCACAGCCCCATAGGGTCCCATAGAGCCCCATAGGGTCCCGCACAGCCCCATAGGGTCCTGCACAGCCCCATAGGGTCCCGCACAGCCCCATAGGGTCCCGCACAGCCCCATAGGGTCCCGCACAGCCCCATAGGGTCCCATGTGGCCCCACAGCCCCGTCTGGCCCCGTCCCCAGGTTCGAGTGGGACCTGTCCCTGGAGGACGCCTCCCGCCGCACGCTCGAGGCTCAGGTCAAATCCTGCCCATCCTTCATGGCCCGGGACAAGGAGGTGCTGGGCAAGGTACGAGGGTGCCCACTGAGCCCCATTGAGCCCCATTGAGCCCCATTGAGCCCCATTGAGCCCCATTGAGCCCATTGAGCCCCATTGAGCCCCATTGAGCCCATTGAGCCCCATTGAGCCCCATTGAACCCCATTGATCCCCCTTGAGCCTGACTGATCTCTATTGATCCCCATTGAGCCCTTTCAGCCCCAGTGATTCCTATTGAGCCCCATTGGTTCCTGTTGAGCCCCGTTGATCCCTGTTCATCCCTGTTGATCCCCATTGATCCCTGTTGATCCCCATTGATCCCCATTGAGCCCTATTGATCCCCATTGATCCCTGTTGAGCCCCATTGATCCCTGTTGAGCCCCATTGAGCCCTATTGAGCCCCATTGATCCCTGTTGAGCCCCATTGATCCCCATTGAGCCCTATTGAGCCCCATTGATCCCTGTTGAGCCCCATTGATCCGTATTGATCCCCATTGAGCCTTATTGATCCCCATTGATCCCTGTTGAGCCCCATTGATCCGTATTGATCCCCATTGAGCCTTATTGATCCCCGTTGATCCCTGTTGAGCCCCATTGATCCGTATTGATCCCCGTTGAGCCCTATTGATCTCCATTGAGCCCCATTGAGCCCCATTGATCCCCATTGATCTCCATTGAGCCCCATTGATCTCCATTGATTCCGTTGATCCCTATTGAGCCCCATTGATCCCTTTTGAGCCCCATTGAGCCCCATTGATCCCTGTTGAGCCCTATTGATCCCCACTGATCCCTATTGATCCCCATTGATCCCTATTGATCCCCATTGAACCCCATTGATCCCCATTGATCCCCATTGATCCCTATTGGTCCCCATTGATCCCTGTTGATCCCCACTGATCCCCATTGATCCCTATTGATCCCCATTGATCCCTGTTGATCCCCACTGATCCCCATTGATCCCCATTGATCCCTATTGATCCCCATTGAACCCCACTGATCCCTATTGATCCCCATTGATCCCTATTGATCCCCATTGAACCCCATTGATCCCTGTTGATCCCCATTGATCCCCATTGATCCCTGTTGGTCCCCATTGAACCCCATTGATCCCTGTTGATCCCCATTGATCCCCATTGATCCCTGTTGGTCCCCATTGAACCCCATTGATCCCCATTGATCCCCATTGAGCCGCTCCTGTCCCCAGCTCTATCTGGACCTGTCCCAAGTGGATCTCTCTGAGGGGAGGCCCCATTGGTGAGCTGGGGGGGGGTCTCTGTACTGGGGGCGGGGGGTTCCATGTGTGCCCCCCCCCCCCCATCACCCCTCTCTGTGCCCAGGTACAACCTCCAGGATGCTCGGAGCGGCCCCTAAAGCCCCCCCACACCCCCCAGATCCCGCTGTGCCTGGGGGGCAGCAGGAACAGGGGCCTGGACCCCCCCACATTGTCCTGCTGCCCCCCCCCCACTGCCTGCACTGCACTGACCAAAGATGCGCCGGGGGGGTCAGGATGAGCCCCCCTCCTCCCCCATAGACTGTTATGGACCTCGTGCCTTCTGCCCACCCGGACACGCTCTCATTCGATGCCAGCGCTGTGCCCCCCCCTCGCCCCACTGCAGCCAGTGTGCCCCCCATAGCGCTAATAAAGGATGGAAGCGATGATGGGGTCTGTGCTGTGTGTGCCCCCCCCATGTATTGAGTGGGTGGTGTCCCTTATGGGGTACCCTTTATGGTCCCTATGGGGGGGGCAATGGGATGTGCCCCCACCCCCCTCCCCCCCCCCCATGTATTCAGTGGGTGGGGTCCCTTATGGGGTACTCTTTATGGTCCCTATGGGGGGGGAAATGGGATGTGCCCCCCACACCCCACCATGTATTCAGTGTGCGGGGGGGGGGGGGGGTATCCCTTATGGGGTACCCCTTATGGTCCCCTATGGAGGGCAATGGGATGTCGTTCCCCCCCCAACAACATCCATGTATTCATTGGGGGGGGGGGGGGGGGGGGGGGGGGTGGGGGGGGGGGGGGGGTGGGGGGGGGGGGGGGGGGGGGGGGGGGGGGGGGGTGGGGGGGGTGTGGGGGGGGGGGTGTGTGTGTGGGGGGGTGTGTCCTTATCCCCCCCCCCAACAACATCCATGTATTCATTGGGGGGGGGGGGGGGGGGGGGGGGTGTGTCCTTATTGAGTACCCCTTATAGTCCCCTATGGGGGGCAATGGGATGTCGTTCTCCCCCCAACAACATCCATGTATTAATGGGGGGGGGTGTGGGGGGGGGGGGTGTGTGTGTCCTTATTGAGTACCCCTTATAGTCCCCTATGTGGGGGGGGGGGGTGGACCAAACCATTACCACAATGGGGGGGGGGGGGGGGGGGTGTCCTTATTGGGTACCCCTTATAGTCCCCTATGGGGGGCAATGGGATGTCGTTACCCCCCCCCCCCAAAACATCCATGTATTCATGGGGGGGGGGGGGGGGGGGGGGGGGGGGTGTCTTTATTGGGTACCCCTTATAGTCCTCTATGGGGGGCAATGGGATGTGCACCCCCTCCCCATGTATTCGGGGGGGGGCCCTTATGGGGTACCCTTTATGGTCCCTATGTGGGGGGCAATGGGATGTGCCCGCCCGCAAAGAGGTGTCAATAGGGGTGGTACCCATGGGGGGGGGGTCATGGGATGCTTCCCATGGGATAACGTGATGTCACCCCCCCCCCACCCCCCCCCCCAAACCCCCCCCCGGTCCCGCTCTGTGCCCATCTAAAGGCAAATCAGCCTCCGGAAAAGGGGGCGTGGCCTGGGCTGGTTCCGCCCCCTCATGAATAATGCGGCCTTCATTAATTAGCGCGGGCCAATGGGCGGGCGCTGACACCACCCGGCAGAAACCTCCCTCCCGCAGGCGCGCACCCAGAGCCCGGACGGGAGCGGCCGCCGCCATGGTGGGGATGGGGACCGGGAGCGGGACCGGGAGCGGGAGCAGGGAACCGGGATGGGGACCGGGACCGGGACCAAGAACGGGAACGGGAACCGGGAGGGCGAACGGGAACGGGACCGGGACCGGGAACCGGGAGGGGGAACGGGACCGGGAACCGGGAGGGGGAACGGGACCGGGACCGGGAACCGGGAGGGGGAACGGGATCGAGCACGGGGAACCGGGACCGGGAACCGGGAGCAGGGAACCGGGATCGAGCGCGGGGAACCGGGACCGGGGGGGGGGGGATGCGCGGAAGTTCCGTGGGCGCAGCCATGGTGGGGGAACGGGAACGGGAACCGGGACCGGAGGGGGATGCGCGGAAGTTGCGCGGGATGGGGAGGAGGGAGCTCGGTACCGGGGGCCCCGGGGGGGGGGGGGGAGGTACCGGGAACCGGTCACGATCGTTTCCCTCTGACCCCCCCCTTCCCCCCCCCCCTCCCCCGCAGTGCGACTTCTCGGAGGAGCAAACCGCGGGTGAGCGACCGGGAACGGGAACGGGAACCGGAACGGGAGCCGGAACGGGAACGGGAGCCGGAACGGGAGCGGGAACGGGAGCTGGAACGGGAACGGGAGCTGGAACGGGAACCGGAACGGGAGCGGGAACGGGAGCTGGAACGGGAACGGGAGCGGGAGCCGGAACGGGAGCGGGAACGGGAGCCGGAACGGGAACGGGAGCGGGAACGGGAGCCGGAACGGGAGCGGGAACGGGAGCTGGAACGGGAACGGGAGCGGGAGCCGGAACGGGAGCGGGAACGGGAGCCGGAACGGGAACGGGAACGGGAGCGGGACCCGGTCCCCCCCAACCGCCCCGGGCTCCCCCCTCCCGGCCCCGGCGCTTCCTGCGCGGCCTCGGGCGGGGCCTTTCCGGGGCGAAGTCTCCCCAAGGCGGGGCCGTTCCTGGGGGGGGGGAACCGGGACCGGGACCGGGGGTGCGGGAGCGGCACCGGGAAGGGGGGGGGGGGGGGAAGCGCGGGTTCGAGTTGCTCCATTTGCCCTTATATGGGCAAAGCGCGGGGCCGCGCATTCCTGCGGGGCGGGGCCGGGACCGGTTGGGTGCGGGATGGGGATGGGGATGAAGGGGGGGGGCAGGCGCGGCCCGAGCGGCGTCGGGTTCCGTGGGGAAACCGGATCCGGCGGCGACGGAAACCGGATACCGGGATGGGGGGGGGCGGTCCCAGGATGCAGGGAGCATCCCATTGGATCCCGTTGGAGACTGCTGGGTCCCGTTTGATCCCATTGGATCCCGTTGGAGACTGCTGGGTCCCCTTTGATCCCATTGGATCCTGTTGGAGACTGCTGGGTCCCGTTTGATCCCATTGGATCCTGTTGGAGCCCGTTGAATCCTGTTTGATCCCATTGGACCCTGTTGGATCTCATTGGATCCTGTTTGATCCCATTGGATCCTGTTTGATCCCATTGGATCCTGTTGGATCTCATTGGAGCCCGTTGGATGCTCTTTGATCCCACTGGATCCCGTTGGATCTCAATGGCCCCCGCTGGCTCCCGGCAGAGTTCAAGGAAGCGTTCCAGCTCTTCGACCGCACCGGCGACGGGAAGATCCTGTACAGCCAATGCGGGGACGTGATGCGGGCGCTGGGGCAGAACCCGACCAACGCCGAGGTCATGAAGGTGCTGGGGAACCCCAAGAGCGATGGTGAGCAGGAACACCCCCACCCCCCCCATATAACCCCCCCCTTCCCATGTTTAACCCCCCCCAAGGGCACTTATGGGGCGCCCCGTTGCAGAGATGAACGTGAAGACGCTGAGCTTCGAGCAGTTCCTGCCCATGATGCAGACGATCGCCAAGAACAAGGACCAGGGCTGCTTCGAGGACTACGTGGAGGGGCTGCGCGTGTTCGACAAGGAGGGCAACGGCACCGTCATGGGCGCCGAGATCCGCCACGTCCTCGTCACCCTGGGTCAGCAGCACCCCCGTCATGGACCCGACCGGGACTCCCCCCCATCACCCCCTATGGACACCCCCGGGACCCCCCCCCATCACCCCCTGTGGGCGCCTATGGACCCGACCGGGACCCCCCATCCATCACCCCCTATGGGCGCCTATGGACACCCCTGGGACCCCCCCTCCATCACCCCCTGTGGGCGCCTATGGACACCCCTGGGACCCCCCCCTCCATCACCCCCTTTAGTTGTTATGGACCCCCTCCCAAACCCCCTATGGGCGTTTATGGAACCCCCCCCAAACCCCTCCATCACCCTCTATGAGCACCTATAGACCCACCCCACAGCCCCCCTCCATCACCCCTAAGGGCGCCTATGGACCCCCTCCAAACCCCCTCCATCACCCCCTATGGGCGCCTATGGACCCCCCCCGAACACCCTCCATCACCCCCTATGAGTGCTCATGGATCCCCCTGGGACCCCCCTCTCCATCACCCCCTATGGGCGCCTATGGACCCCCCCCGAACACCCTCCATCACCCCCTATGAGTGCTCATGGACACCCACCCCCCCCCCCCCAGACCCCTCCATCACCCCCTATGAGTGCTCATGGATCCCCCTGGGACCCCCCCCTCCATCACCCCCTATGAGTGCTCATGGACCCCCCCCCCCCCCCAGACCCCTCCATCACCCCCTATGGAGTCCTCACCTGACCCCCCCTGTGCCCCATAGGTGAGAAGATGACGGAGGAGGAGGTGGAGCAGCTCGTGGCGGGGCACGAGGACAGCAACGGCTGCATCAACTACGAAGGTGGGGGGTGGGGGGGGTTGGGGTGCAATGGGGGGAGGGGTTGGATTTGGGGGTGCAGTGGGGGGGGAGGGGTCCCGATCCAGCCCTGACCGTGGTCTCCTTCCTTCCCGCCAGCCTTTGTGCGACACATCCTGGCAGGGTGACGCCGCGGGGGTAGGCGCTTCCCAACGCTCCCCTCATTCCCGGGGGGGGGGGGGAATTCCCAGCTTTCCAGCCTCATTCCCGGCTTTCCAGCCTCATTCCCAGCTTTCCAGCCTCATTCCTGTTTTTTGCAGCCTCATTCCCGGTTTTCCAGCCTCATTCCTTGTTTTCAGCCTCATTCCCGGTTTTCCAGCCTCATTCCTTGTTTTTCCAGCCTCATTCCTTGTTTTCAGCTTCATTCACGGTTTTCCAGCCTCATTCCCGGCTTTCCAGCCTCATTCCTTGTTTTCAGCCTCATTCCTTGTTTTTCCAGCCTCATTCCCGGTTTTCCAGCCTCATTCCCAGCTTTCCAGCCTCATTCCTGTTTTTCCCAGCCTCATTCCTGGTTTTCCAGCCTCATTCCTTGTTTCCAGCCTCATTCCTTGTTTCCAGCCTCATTCCTTGTTTCCAGCCTCATTCCTTGTTTTCAGCCTCATTCCTTGTTTTCAGCCTCATTCCTGTTTTTCCCAGCCTCATTCCTTGTTTTCAGCCTCATTCCTTGTTTTCAGCCTCATTCCTTGTTTTCAGCCTCATTCCCGGTTTTCCAGCCTCATTCCTTGTTTCCAGCCTCCTTCCTTGTTTTCAGCTTCATTCCCGGCTTTCCAGCCTCATTCCTTGTTTTCAGCCTCATTCCTGGTTTCCAGCCTCATTCCCAGTTTTTCAGCCTCAT